CTCACTACAACCGAACCGCTCCAGAGTTCGTTTTCAATCGAACCACCTCGTTCAGGCTATCTCGGACCGATTGTTTTGGCGCGGATCTGGGCCGTGTTCACATATGCCCAAACGAACCGAGCTAAGGGGGCAAATGTGCCAGGTTCCGAAACAATGGCCCAGGTGTGAAAGCACCCTAAAGTGACTTCTTCATCCCTTTAGAAACTTTTTTTTTCAAAAGCCTAGCAACAAAATCAATTTCTTGGACAAAGCTCATCTACATTCCGAGACTCTCCCATGACGTCATAAAGGCGAGTTCACTGATCTATAGAAATATAAATATAGATCAGTGAACTCGCCTTCCCTGCTTACAGTGTCATCACCGGTGCATTGCTGCATTTTTCCAATTTTCCAGCCAAAAAAATGTGATTACTACTTTCATTTCTGCAGTTAGAGCATTGACTTGTTGAGTGGAAGAGGTTATTACATTTCTTACTTTGTCTGTTACAAAAAAAAAAGACTTTTTGATCTTGACAATCAAGTTTGTATCGTTTTATCAACTCCATATCATCATATAACTCCAATATGTCATATCTTCGCTGGAAAGTGTGAACTTTTTGTACATGTACAGAAAGAAATGACTGTTTTACAAATAGTACATGAGCTGGGCAATAATTAAGTTCAATTAGGATTACACAAAGCTAACACACAAAACTGACAATTTATCATGAATACAGTCATACGGGCCTTATTATTTCAAATGGAAAGTAAATAATTTGGGGAAAAAACAACATGACAACAGAGTTTCAACCTTGTGGTAGTCATATGATAATAAGGACACTTTGGTCATGTGATTGTGGGAGAGTATGGCTGATTTGCGTGACCTAAGAAATGTCAGAGCGGTTGGTAACTTATTCTATCGTACTAATCTCAAACTAACACACATATACAGCAGCCTAATATTTAAGAAATATGGTTATATTTTCAAAACGGTGTTAAAGTTGCTATCATTTATTGCAGTTAAGAGTTCATAGTGCTGCATACTTGCTGGATTCCTCTGTTAATGAATTACTGTACACATATTTTTTCTTTTAAAAATAATTGTATGCAAAGTAAAAATTGCTTTTAAATAACTCACAGCAATTTCCCTGCAGGCAGACATGGAAATACCAGTGCCTTCTATCTGTTTCAGTGCATACTCCTTCTCATCCTTCCTGTAAAAACACAAACACAACATTACTAAAGGTGAGGAAAAACAGCTACGCACATACCGTAAATACACCATTACAACACGTTTGAATATGAATAACTCTATTAAACAACTATCTGTTGTATTTCAGTAACTTACATTTAAGACATGAATAACAATATATTATTTAATTAATTCATAAATCATAAAGTAGTAACCATTAAAAAGTGCTTGTTTACACACTAATGTACTTTAATTTTTGCTAATATAATAAATAAAATACATTTTGCTAATAATTAAATAATGTGCATTGATATTGATATTACCGAATTAAATAATAACTTTTCTCCAAGTTAAAGTTCATGATTCTACCAAAAAATCTCTGTGAACCAATTTCTTTTTTGTAATGATGACTGATGGCTGAAGCAGTATTTTTTCATATTTCTCATCTAGTTTACATGATTACTCATGGTTATTGATTGATTGTCTGGTGAAAAGAATTCACTATTTAAATATCCATTTTCTCAAAAGTAACTTCACTTTTCTTTGCAATGATTTTTAACCAACCGACCAAAAAAATAATTCATGAGATGTACAAAGCCCTCCCTCAAGTTCACACAGGTGTAGTTCATTACATTAAACTATTAATATGTCCCACTAACATTTCAGATCCACAAAATGTTTCCTTTTGCCTTAATTTCCAATACATTATCTTTTATTATTTCAAAAATATACTCTGTAAAACATTTAACATGCAAAGTGTTCCTGAGCTACCTTTCTTAAAAGTAAACAACACTTGTTTGCATGTTTTGTTTCCCAATGCAATGAAATGCAAACATTTTCCAGGGACGTGCTCAAATACCTCTATAATTAGAAGTATTTTTTTTTTCTGTGAATAAGTACCAATATATGATATGAACTCAAGGTGTGGTCACGTTAGCCGTTGTTCTGAGACTTTTCACAAACTAAATCCAATCAATTAACAAAGAATCCAGATGTTCTGGAATTTCACATGAGGGCAATATGTTTCAATACCAAAATCCACAGCCTACTTGTACTACTCCAGGACCATGGTTGGGAACCACTGGCCTCATCTAGCCTAACTAAATGAAATCATCTTTTTTTTTCCACCTGCGGTTCACACATATATGTGACCCTGGAGCACAAAACCAGTCATAAGGGTAAATTTTTTTGAAATTGAGATGCATGCATCATCTGAAAGCTGAATAAATAAAGCTGATGTGTTATGTATGGTTTGTTAGGATAGGACAATATTTGGCTGAGATACAATTATTTGAAAATCTGGAATCTGAGGGTGCAAAAAAATCTAAATATTGAGAAAATCATCTTTAAAGTTGTCCAAATGAAGTTCTTAGCAATGCATATTACTAATCAAAAAATAAGTTTTGATATATTTATGGTAGGAAATGTACAAAATATCTTCACGGAGCATGATCTTTACTTAATATCCTAATGATTTTGGCATAAAAGAAAAATCTATCATTTTGACCCATACAATGTATTGTTGGCTATTGCTACAAATATACCCCAGCGACTTAAGACTGCTTTTGTGCTCCAGGCTCACATATTGTAATTTAGCTACATGTGAGCAATTCGAGCACTATTCACACATAAAAAACTCCAGCCTTGCAAACCTGACATGTGCTTATGAGCGTCAACATGAGCTGCACTGATGATCAGAACAAACAGCCAATCAGACACGTACCAGCATACTTTCATCTGTTTTTATCATGATATAATCACATGTAAGACTTCAAGAGTGAGCTGTTCCTAAACCACATAATGTCATGTCAAAGGCAGACCTGCTCATGTTTCATGTTCAGTTATCTTTGCCATGTAAGTGTTTTCTGTAATGTTGAAGTTGTTGTGCTTGCCATTGTGCTGAGGAGGTTGTGGTGGCTCTACATAATGAAGACAATAGTGTATGTTGCGTCACTTAATGTTAAGTCAGTGCAGTGCAGTGATATGTAACTTATTATTGTTCACTGCTTTTATATATAAACATGTGCTATGCTAGCTACAGAACCTTTTTTAAAGGTGACATATCATGAAAATATGACTTTTCCAGGTTTTAAGTGCTACAATCTGGTCCCCGGTGCATCTACCAACCAAGCAAACGTGAAAAAGATTAACCCAGTAACTTTGTTTTGGGAAGCCTTTTTCTGCAAGCGTCTGAGAAAACGAGCGCGCACTGCTGCTTTCACATGCATGCTCATCATTTGCTAACCTTCAAGTTGGTACAAACCTGTACGAGTTTCTTTCTTCTGCTCAACACAAAAGATATTTTGAAGAATGTGTGTGAATGAACAGCTGATGGTCCACAATCATGTCCAGCGTACCTTTTTTATTCACTACTGTTCAAAATATCTTCTCTTGTGTTCAGCAGAAGGGTGCTGCCTCGGTTAACAGCTTTCCTGCCTGTTTTGAGATATCAATATCAGAAATTCTGATGAAATAGGTCTTTTCATATTATGTTTTGATGTGATTGCTGTAATATGATTGATCCGAATCACTTATTCTATTATATAACACTGTTGTAATTAAATGATCTGTGGAGTATTTTGAGCTGAAACTTCACAGACACATTCTGGGGACACCTGAGACTTATATTACACATTGTAAAAAGGGGCATAATATGTCTCCTTTAAAATGTACACCATAATCCAACATTAAACATTGATTCATCTTCACTCAAAAATACAGACTTGAATATACTGGAATCTACTCAATATAACGGAGCTGATGTAATTAAAAAGAACATTGACTAGGCTCAACTAAACTGGTATTTCTGAAATTAAGACATATATTTAATGCAAACACTTGCCCTAAAATATTGAATAAATTCAATAAGACATTTTTTCATTGAAAAACAAGGCAGTCAGAGTTGAATGCGTCTGAAGCACTGCTGCTTTCACATGCATGCTCATCATTTGCTAACCTTCAAGTTGGTACAAACCTGTACGAGTTTCTTTCTTCTGCTCAACACAAAAGATATTCCATTTCCTTGTTTGGGATTTTGGTCGGCCCCGCTTAATAGTCACGTGTTCGGTGGCGTATGTTATTGTGGCCGATTGCCTTCTGGGAACTGTAGTGTACTCCGATCAATCCACCGGTTTGAGTTAACGACGGTAGGTCGTCCGTGAACTACAACGCGCAAATCGCGATGTTGGACGTCGTTCCATTCCCTTTCAAATTTTCGAGGTTGTTGGAATATTCAAACTTTGCATTAGCTGTCATTCTAACAGAAGTACGATGATAACTCGCGTCCTCAAAACGTTTAAAGTACTCTCACACGATGGTGTAAAATGCACAAGCAAACCATCATTTTTCTTCAACAGACTAGTGAATAAACGGGGACCAATTACCAGTTGCCTATGTACTGGCGCAGCGTTTATTCGCCTTTACAAGGGCATTATATACAAGCTGTGCTACTACAGTCTGAGCGCATACCTTTACGCAACCGCCAATTTGATTGACAGGAGCTACAGCCAATCGTTGCTGACATGAGGGCGGCTTCTTGGCCGTGATTGGCCGCAATGCGGATGACGTCGGCGGGTAGGTAATAAAAGCTCCGCGCAGACTGCCATTCTGCGCTTACACAGTATGGCCGGCGATATTAGCTAGCACTCGCCTACGGTATTCTCTGTAAAAGGGAAGACGGTTAAAAAAAACAAGGCAACTACATCTGGACTGCTCAAGAACTGTAACTAACCTAATAAATTATAACAACCAACAAAGGACTAATTTAACTGGGATTCCATCCGACGGTTTAATTTCTGTTGTTGGAGTCTGTTTGTGTCACGATGGAAGAGAGCAGTGCACACTTCTTCGAGGGGACCGAGAAGCTCTTGGAGGTGTGGTTCTCCCGAGAAGACGAAAGCAAAGGAACCGGGGATCTGCGCACTATCCCCAGGTGAGTGAATAAGTCCGAGCTGGGACTGGATTTAACCGAGCCAGGCAGTCAACGGCGTCCTATCGCTTAAATCATGCATAAAACGTGTATAAACCATCAGTAATGTCACCGTGCTAGCTCTGAGAGCTGCTGAGTGAGTGACATGTGGCTCTGGCTCTGACACCCGAGCAGTGATCAGCAGTTTTGGCCATTTTTGACACCATCCCCCTTTACGCTCATTCATTTGAGCTGTCAGGACTGGAGCTGAACCTCGAGCCCCAGTGAGCTTTTTCCCCTCCTACTTCTTTTTTGGGCATACTTAAACTATTCCGAGTCGTCATGAACAACATCAACAACACATTCAATCAACGTCTAGATAACTTACAGGTTTTGATCTTAGTCTGGCCCTGTCTGTGTCTCTTAACATCGCTCTGCAATGTCCATCTGTCACTGGAGTCGTGTCTCGTTTCGCTGTATTCGGATCAGCCCTGAATCAGTTATCGATGAGCTGTGGTGCGAGTGAAGGCTGATCGATTGATTAGCCAGTGGCTAACTTGCAGCTAGCTGATATGGCGCCATAGCAAACACGCCTCCTCGAACAACACAGTCCTCTACGGAGTGCTTCTGTACATATGAATGCATACTGGATGCTATTGAGTCCTCTTTTGTTGACGTAGCGTTACTAGTTTTATTTATTTTTTTATTTCCACAAAGTTATAGGTATTTAACAACAACAAAAAATAATCTTTGAAGATTTGTGATTGCAGTTGTGCTTCACAATATGCGACTGATTGCATCCAAGAGCTCTATTTTTGGGAAGGATCATGGCGGTTGAACCTGCGCCGCAGCCTCCGTGTGAAAGTCACGCGCTGCGTCACACGTCGTAAGCTCCGCCCATGTGTTGTGATTGGTTGGGAGTTCTAGTCGCTCATTGGTTGGTGTTATATGTGCGCAGACAGCTGCGGCGGTGCGCATGCGTCTCCTGCGGACTGCGAGCTAAAGAGTTAATGCGGACAGAAAACAACAGTTTACAACATTAATTTAATGTGCAATAATGGTTGGGCATTCGAATGTATTTGTCTTGATGTCTAGGCTATATGTAATACAGAGTTATAATTACAAATGACAATGTCTTTTAAAAATAAATAAACACTTTATATGTGGAAGTTCACTAATATGTGTGCATTATCATTTAGCAAAGCTAGATGTTAGGTAAACAGATCGTCCAGTAATGAACATGTTTATTGGCTGATACTAATATTCTCGAAATAGTGGCGGAAATATCGGATACTGCTGTTCTCAAAATATTGGTCTATTACTACAAAAAAAGTCCTGTATTAATACTACGATGCCTGCCAACAGCAAAAACAATACATTAATATGTTTCCAGAGCTGGGTAGTAACTGGATTAAGTAATCTGATTCCAAAAAATTAAGTACATGTAATTGGATTAAATTACATTTTGAAATACTCATAATCAGACTACAGTTACTTTTTATGGATTACATGATTACATATTCACTCAATAGCAATAATGTATTCATAATTTGCGGATTATCACCAATTTTTCATCTTTTATATTTTACTTCCTAAAATAGCCTACCGCGCTTATATACACTCAGTCTTTCAGTTTTGTGGGCATTAACGCAGAGATCAGTCATTAGTTTGGTGGATACACAGCATCTGAGCACTAGGGCTGTCAAAATGACTGAAAAACTAAATTAGAATTTTCTACTTAAATATTATCAAGATTCGAATTACAGGCTCCGGACTAATATTTGAGAGCAGTGGCACCAGCGCCACTAAGATCTACAGATGGTGGCGCCAGGAGCAGATTTGGTAGCGCTGGGGGTGGTGTGTGGGAGTATTAAAATATAGATCATTTAATCATAAAATTACTATTGTTTTGCATTAATAAGTGCAGTTACTAATAATATTACATGTTCATTTCTTGTTTATTGAAACGTAGCGTGCTTTTGTTTCGTTTGCCGTTTGATGTTTCTCAAATGTAACAGAAATGGCAGCGCTTATGAGTTGGACAACGCGGTGGTCGCGACCGCACACAAAAATGAGTCGCACCGGCAGAAAAAATGGTTGGTTGCAGTCTGGAGCCCTGAATTATATTCGAATTTAAAAGGCATAATTTCAGTCAGGGGGGAAAAAAGCTTTTGGCTTCTCTCCTGAAAGTTGAACTTGCATTAATTTTACATTGCTTTCTAAACATGCCGCTCTCTTGTGCAAGACGCGAGTGCAACTCTGATAGACGTCCCTCTAGAAAATGTGATAAATATGCGTTCTGTGTGAACGGCTTGGTTTCAGTTTTGACGTAAACAACATCTTCTCCACACTGATGCTCTCGTTTTCCGCAATATATGAATGAACAACGTAGCGAGGCCTAATTTTACATTGCTTTCTAAACATGCCGCTCTCTTGTGCAAGACGCGAGTGCAACTCTGATAGACGTCCCTCTAGAAAATGTGATAAATATGCGTTCTGTGTGAACGGCTTGGTTTCAGTTTTGACGTAAACAACATCTTCTCCACACTGATGCTCTCGTTTTCCGCAATATATGAATGAACAACGTAGCGGCGCCGCATCTAGTGGGTTCAACTGGACAGGCTAACAAAAGCATTCAAATGCAGTCAATGACACTTACATCGTCATCGCATCTCGTGCACCACTGATAGGCTGCCTGACGGCTGACGCAGACCTAAAATTCGAATGCAACGTTTTTGCATTCGAATGTGGATTTTTTTTTTTTATTCGACGAATATTCGAAATTCCAATTTGTTTTCGACAGCCCTGCTGAGCACTGGATTTACAAAAATCTTTTCAGGATTAAGAAGTGTTTCAACATTGCATCAACTACTGATGAACACATTCATTCTTATTTGAATTATTACAATTTGGGAAACCTAGACGTAGTATAATATTTAATGCACTTCATGTTGTTGATAACAAATGGAATATATTTTCTTACTTTTAAATATTTTTATATCCGTATGGAATCCAATTTAAATCAATGTGATAAACGAGATAGGTCAGAAGTAATCTAAAAGTAATCTGATTAGATTACCTAAAATGTGTAATGTAATGGATTACGTTACTAGCTAAAATTTTTGTCATGTAATTTGGAGTCAGTAATGGACTACAATTTGTAAGTAATCTACCCAGCTCTGCATGCTTCCATAAAGTTGTATTTTATACTATTGATCTATTGTAATTATTTTCATAAGGTTCAATACTCTATAATGTATAACTCTAAGTCAATTACAGTCAGCCTTCCAGCTCATGTAGAAGCTAGGTGTGTAAAATATGAATGAGGGAGGACATCAGCGCTCCTCTGCTGCATCTATAGTAAGGTTTCTCAGAACTGAAAGCTGATCTCTGTGGTTTCTCTGGGTACGGCTGTCAGGTTGAATGATGAGGGCTATTAGTTTACTTCCGGCAAAGCATTAACACACTCAGAGATACTAGAAAGAGGATCATTAGAGTCTGAGCACAGCTAGTTTCCAAATAAATCCAGCAGGTCGTGTAACTGCCCCTCGTCTTCCTACAGCGCAAGGAAGCACTTTACTGAGCTCAAATCGGCCTTTGTCATAATTCATAACTAGCATTTTGTGTGTCCTTGATAGGGTTGCAAAAAGGTGGAAAATTTCCAGTAAATTTCGGAAATATTCCAGGATTTTTTTTTTGGGGGGAATATTCCAGGGATTTTTGGAAAGTTTCCGGAAATTTTCCACCCCTTTGCAACCCTAGTCCTTGATACACACAGTTAGGGATGGAACGATTACCGGTTTGACGATAAATCATGATAAAATCCCCCACGGTTAGTATTACCGTTTCATATTTTAATTATCATTAAAACCGTATCCGATTACCGCGATTTGAACAACTCGGAATAAATAGGCTAAATACTGTACAACATAAAGCAAAGTTTTAAATAATAGTCTCACGTGAGCGTAGCACGTAAAATAGTTTTGGTTTTGTCGAATCGTGGCGGAAAAGCTGGGAATTTTTAAAAGAGTGAGGGAATTATACAAATGAATCTACGAATTAATGAATTATATTAATGTACCTCTGAAGGTTCTGGCTGTCTTCAGAAAAGATTCGATGGCATTTTGTTTTCATCTTCGCTCCGTGTAATACCTAATAATTTGGGCTGGGACAATAAATCGATGCATTGCGATTTGTGGATGGATTCTGTGTTTTTCGGAATGCATCGTGATTCTCTCTGGAATCGATTCTGAGCTTAGTTTTTAACAGCAGATGGCGCTCTAGGCTAGTTTTGAAGTCACGAAGAAGAGCGCTTGTGCGTTCGGCTGAGTAATGTAAGTGCTTAAATGTACTTGCACATCGGCTTTTATGATGTGAGATTAATGTAAACACAGCCCACTGCGAACACTCTTGTAATTCGCTTCAACCTTTTCGAACTTTATGAATGATTATTTTAGGTTAAAGTGGTGCGTGTGTAAGGAACCAGAAGCAAGCAGAATACGGCGGCTTCTAAAGCACGCAGTGCCATCTACTGTTAAAAACTAAGCTCAGAATCGATTCAAGAGAGAATCGTGATGCCTTCGGAAAATCTCAGAATCGATGCAGAATTGGGGCCTGGCGATATAGCTAAAAAATGTATCAACGATATAATGTTTCATTTTTTTAAAAAAAGAGCAATATAATTTTTTTTTTTATTTAACCACTGTATTTTTTAATTAACCCA